GGGGGGGGGGGAGGGGGTGGCGGCAAGCGCACGTGTCGGGGATGTCACGAGCGGCGTGGGGCAGGTGCAGCAGTACAGACGCGACTCGCAGGTCAGACGATGGGGTGCAAGTATCCGTTTGGTGTAATCCTGGGTGTGGCCGAGTGACGGTGAAGGCCGGGTGGAGGACTGTTGGCTGGTGTGCAACACGTGCTGGTGGTTAAGTTTTGAGTGTTTATACAGGCAGGTTGGGGTGGGCCTCGGAGCCCAGCGGCAGGAGCGCTGCCAGGCAGGCGAGCAGCTGGCGATGCTTGGTGTGAGAAACTGTTGGGCGGCCGTGGGCGCTGTCTTTCGTCGTCTGTTGACAAAGACATTGTTGCTGCCCGCCTCCTGTTCGTAGGCCTGGAGCTTGTGCTCGCTGCTTGCGCCGCTTGCTGCACTCACCTGGGGTTTCCCTTGGACGTTGGGGTCGGGGTAAGCCCCCAACACCCTGCACTCAACCCTGGGCTCGGGGGTGCCCCCCCCCCCTGCCCAGCCTGGTGGATTACCCAGTGACCCAAGCCATGTGCGAGTACCTCCACCAGCCAGCCGCTTGAGGCGCCCAATTTTCCTGAAATGCATATAAAGCGGACAATGCCTTGCAGGTATACACAAATCGCGTCTGTGCGGTGGTGTGGATGGTTTGAGCCTGCGAAAGGGCTCGGAGGCGTCTAAGAAAGCTCAGGACGCCGTCACCAAAATTTGATTGCAGTTAGGTGCGTGGCATAGTGGGCTCACATGGCGTCGCGTTGAGCATACGGTATAGGTCGCAGTCACATCACGCAGTGCCAGGGCGCGCTGGGCCCGCGCTGCACTTGCCAGTTCATCGCGCCCGCATTCATCCCTTTGCCCGCTGTCTTACTGGCGCACGCACAACCTCGCGTTTTGCAGCGGCGGCCGCCGCGGCGGCACGCCACGATCGCACCGTGTCAACTCCATCGGCTCAACGCAGCCCAATGGAGGCGGCCCTGCGGCAGCTGCTGTCGTGCGTCGAAAGCAGCCGCCACGACGCCGCCAACGAGGCGTTCGAGAGACTCCGACAGGAATGCCGCGCCGCCGCAGGCAGCAGCCCCACCGCGGCGGTTGAGGTGCCCGGTCAGCGCTCCTTGGACCGACTGCAGCAGCACCTGTGCTGGGCCGGCAGCAGCGCGCTGGCGACCAGCACGGATTTCCCAACGTCCTTCGCCCCCAGCCAGGCGCTGGTGCAACTGATAAAGGTGCCCGCAGTGGCGGACGCGTTCGTGACGGAGAGTCGCGTGGCCGCGCTGATTGACGCACTCGAGGCGCTCGGCTGCGAGGAGGGCGGCGGCGGCGGCCGCTGCGCAGGCGTTGTGGAAATGCGGCTGTGGCTGCTGAGTGGCAACCTTGCAGCCACAGCGATGCACTTGGTCATGCAAGTCAAGGGGCTCACCGGCGGCGACGGCGACGGCAACGGCGGCCCCATCACCCCCGCGCAGCTCGCCCTGGCTGGGATCATCACCCGGCCGGCTGCTGTGCGCGCGCTGCTGCGGGCGGCCCACACGCAGCTTTCATCAGAGCTTTATGCAGGGGACCCTCTGACATCGCTTGAGAGGGCGTTCGTGGTCGCAGAGCATGTGAAAGGACGTGCCGCGCCAGCCCCTCTCGCCTCGCCTTGTGAGCCGTCATCCTTCGGGTCCGACCTGTACGCCGCGGCGCGCGCGGCGTGGCGGGTCGCCGACGCCGATTGGGTCTGCGAGGCGCTGCCGCAGCTGCTGGTGCTGCGGCTGGGAGAGGCCAGGCAGCGGCCAGGGATAGGGGCCAGTGCACAAGTGCTCCGGCAGCACGCCGCCCTTTTTGTGGCCTCACGCATGGGCACTGTGGTTGGTCCCCTGATGGAAGCCCTCTCGTCGCACGCGGCCGCCATGGGCGAGGTGGCGGCGTGCATTTGCCGAAACGGTGACGTCATCCTGTTCAGGATGTCTTTAGTCATCCTGTTCAGCGCGCTTGAGGCCTGGCCGTGGGGCCACGAGGGCGCAGGCACGGCGCTTGCGGCTTGCTGCAAGCCCAACACTCTTGCGGAGCTGCTGCGCACGGCCGCCCTCCGCGGCGCCAGTGGCGGCGGGGCCGGCAGGGGAGGGTCGGACGGCGCCCCGGCAAACTTTGGGCTGTTTCCGACTTTTGCAGACGGTGGTGGTGCAGCGCAGGTGCTGGCATCAATCGCGGCCCACGAGGCGATGTTGGCACGGCAGTCTAGCATCGCCGTCGTGCCAGCAGCCGCGGCTGCCGTGGTGGCGAGCCTGCGCAATTGGCTAGCAGTAGATGGCGGGCAGATGACTTATGCAAACACGTCGAGAGTCCATCAAGTCTGTGCAATGGTGTTCAGCATCGTCGCTGGCGGCGGGGCCAACGGCGACGCATGGGCGGCCACGTTGTCACGCCTGGGAGCGCAGCATCTGCTGCGGCGCGTCGGGGTTGAGCTAGGGCCACGGACAGCCGAGTGGTCAGCGACCGCAGCAGCAGCACTTTACGCCGTCGCACACGCAGCGCACGCATCACGTCAGCAGCCGCAGCAGGAGCAGCAGCCTGCAGAAGGCAGCAGCAGCAGTGGGCTTGAGGAAGCTGAGGAGAAGCAGGTCGCCATCGCCGCCTTGCTGGAAGCGGGTGTTTACGCTGTCCCGCACCTGCTCGTGCTGGCGGCGCTGCGGCCCAGCTGGCGGCCTGGGCTTGTCCAGGCGCCTGGCATCCTGGAGCGCCTGTCGGCCGCGGCAGCCGCCCCAGACCAGAGCGAGCATAGCAAAAACGCCCTCCGCACCCTCTGCCTGCTGGCCGCGGGCGTGGCGCCGGCGAAGCGCCTGCCTGGCTTTGCGCGCACCATGCTGGAGCGGTGCGATGAGCGGCCGGCAGACGTGTGGGGCGGAGTCCCGGCGCTGGAAAGCAACGGGAGGGCCTTGGAGGAGGTGTTGGGGTGCCTTGCGGGCTGCCGCGAGGCGGACGGCATTGTGGGGGAGCGCGCTGCCCTGGCTCTTGCCCAGCTGAGGGCGGGCGAGCAGCAGCAGCAGCAGCAGCAGCAGCAGCAGCAGCAGCAGCAGCAGCAGCAGGGGCTAAGCACAGGAGCTGCAGGGGGCGCACGAGAGCAGCGCCGGCGCAGCGCGTGCGCATTCTGCGGCAGGACCGCGCGCGAAGGAGCAGAGCTGCGGCGCTGCGCGGGCTGCGGGCGCGTCACGGGGACGCGGTACTGCAGCCAGGAGTGCTGCAGGATGGACTGGGTGGTGAGGGGCCACCGCGCGGTGTGCGATGCGGCGCGGCGCAGCCAAGCTTGAATTTGACGAACATCAGGCTGGCGTATGCGCTGACGTTAAAGGTCACCGCTTGCTGGCTGATGCCTCGTTGTGGGGCACGGCTGCGCTGTAAGCACTCACAAAACAGCGCTGCACAGGAATCCATTTGCAAAGGCACGATCGTGTTGACACAGATACTGTTGCTGCCTTGCCATGTGTTTGCAGGCGTGGTGCTTGTGCTCTCGACTTGCTCACCCCGGAATTCCGGGCCATCTCCCTTGGTGTGGGCGAGCGGCAGGGAAGGCAACTGTACGTAGTCACTCAGCATCGTGTGTGCCACTTGATGGTGCACAGGGGCTGCGTTGTGACCGTCTGCCGAGCAAGATACTCTGCACACGCCTAGCATACTGCACGGGATGGTTGGTCTTTCTCCTGTCGTATCATGTCACCAGCTGTGTCCCAATTCCCCTCACCAACATTCACGCAAGGAGCGCGTGTGCACACGCGTAGCAGACGTAGCCTGCTTTTGCCCCTCCCTCCTGCTACTGTGATGCGAGCGGACCCGTTGTTCAGAATTCTGCTTTGCTTCGACCAAGTCACGCAGCATCAGTGACTGGGTGGGTCACCTTGGGGCTGCAACATGACCCCCTGCACGCCACTCTAGCAAACCCTGCATACACATAGCGGAATGACTGAGTTGTTCGATCGCCCTCCCGGCCGTATCTTGTCACGACCTGCGACTTGATTCCTCCACCAGCGTACAAACAGTTGCGCATTCGACTCGTGCACGTGGTAGCCGGCTTGGCCCCCTCTTCACTGCTACTGTACCTTGGTACTGTGCCGATTACTAGAAGAAGTATTCATCACTATCCTAACAGGATTGGATCTCAACTTGAGGAGCTGAAATTGTGTGCTTGATAGGATGCTAAAACGCGGACGTTGTGAACTTGCCTGGTCACTCGGCAGGGCATCAGTGCAACACACAGCGGCTGGCGCTTGTTGGGGCAGGAGCATGGAGGCAGATTTTGCCCCATACGGCTGTTACTTGTGTTAGCGCCCAAGCTACCCCCCTCAAGACCACGGGGCTGGGGGGACAGTGGGGGCATGACAAGGCGTTGGTCGCGTCAGCCCGAATTGCGGGGGCATGGTGCACACCGCCGCGCCCTGATCAAAGCGCAGCGTCATCAACTTGCCATACTTCGGTTTCGACTGGATTTCTCAAAGCGCTTCGAGCGTGCTATCTCGCAAGCGCTGTATACCGGAGAGGGGGATGCGGGCAACAACTGCCGGCCTGGCCCCTGCGAGGGGCCCGGCGAGGCCCCCGCTGCCAAGACGATTCGTTACTGCTTCGAAAAAGCTTTCAAGCGGTGCCAGCCTCGAAAGCAATGTCGGGCAGCAACAGAGATCTCACCGGCTGCAGGTGAGTACCGGATCAATGAACAATGGGCCAGCTGCCGCTGCCAAGCTGCGGCAAAGAATGGAGCATTGGCCGAGCACCGTGCGGAATACATCTGTGCTGCCCCTGCAGGCGCAGAGGAACCCGGGCGTCGAAGACGCTGGCGCCGCTGACTCTGCGCCCCTAAAGCGCGCGGCGCAGGTGGGTGCGACGCATCGACACATTGCAGCAGCGGGCCCTCAGGGCATAAAGTGATGATGACACCACCTCTCGCATACCGCCAGCATGGCTTTCCAACTCGACCAGTGCCCGTGCATCGTGCGCCGTGCTCTGTGTGCAACGAGCATGCCGCACCAGCCCTACAGCAGCAACGCATCCACGATACGTGGCGCGCATGCCGCATGATGAAATGCATACAGAGCATCCCCACACGCTGCCGCAGCTGCCACGCCCACCGGCGACCCCCGCGCCCCCCCCCGTAATGCCCGCCTCCCTCTGGCGAGCAGGTGGCGCTGCTGGTGCCCCTCTTTCTTCTCACGGTGCTGGACCGCCCTGCCCACGCGTGCCGACTTGGCCGCTTCTTTGGATGGAGAAAGAAGGTGCGCACCGGCCTCGCTGCACCCCGTGCCGCAGCATCTCCCGCCGGCCATGGCGCCGCGATTTGCGCCCGCTGCGCGCTCTCGTCGCTGCCGGCGGTTTTGTTTGCCATGCTTTTTGCACTCTGCACGCCGGGCCCTGCCGCCAGCCGCCCGCTTCCACGCACCGCCGTCTGCAACACGCCTGTCCACCGAGGCCCGCTTCAAATCAACACACGCCTCCGCCACCGCATCAAGCGCCACTTGCTGCCTCTCATCCCCTTCCTTCCTGCCGTGCTACCGTGTTGCCGTGCATCTCAACCCCAACCCCCCTAAAACTTGCCAAGCAGGAGCCCGAGGCTCGTGTGGTGGCGCGCGCCTCAAAGTCCTCCCTCGAAACGGCCTATGCCGTAACCTCGGACACACTCCGCCGCGACGAGGTCCGAGGCGGCCTCGCCGCCGCCGCGGGGCTCGCGGCGCTGTCGCTGCTGCTGGGGGCGGCCGCCAAGGAGGAGGCTGCCGAGGGCGGCGGGAAGCAGGGTTACGCGGCCGGGGCGGCGGCCGCAGGCGCCGGGTCGCTGCTGGTTGCGCTCGCTACAGGGGGCCTGGTGGTGCCCTTCATCCTTGACAGCCAATACGGGGACGTGACCGGCCGCGGCGCGCTCAACACAAGGGAGGTGGGCGGGCACTCGCGCGGACGCTGCAAACAGCCACGGGGCGCCAGCCCCAGGGCTGGGCGCCGCCGCATGGCTATTGAGCTGCGGGAGGATGGCTGCACGGAAACGGTTGGTGGGGGCGGCGGTGCACCCTGCAGCCGGGATCATCACCATTACTGTGTCCACGCGCAAGCAGCGCCGCACCGACTTACCATCAGCAGTGCTGCGTTTCGCGAGCCTCACGCGTGCACGACCCGTCCCTTGAGCCCTGACCACGTTTTGAAATATCGTCCCCCCCTCCGCAGCCGAGCGCGGCCGCGCGCCTCCCGAAGCCCGTCGGCTCCGCTGCCGGCGCGCTCGGCGCCGCCATTTTCGACGCCAACTCAGCGATTGTCGCGCAGGCGCGGCCGCTGCTCGCGCTGCTGCTGGAGACCTCCGACTCCGTCGCCGCCGCTGCGCGCCCCGCACGCGCGCGGCTGGCCGCCGGGCTTGAGCGCGAGGACGTGCGGCAGGGGCTGTCGGTGGCGGCAGCGCTGGTCACGATCGCGACGATCTTTTGGGGCAGCGAGCGCCGGCAGGACGCGCGCGAGCGCCGCAACGCGGCCGGCGCGGGCGG